AAAAAATTGACCCTTATGACTGGTTTTGTGGTCCAGGGTCACGCACATATATATATATATATATATATATATATATAAATAATTTTATGTCATCCGACGGCCCCTAGTTGAGAAGCACTGATCTGGAATCTTCTTTATGTTTTGTGACTTCATGTTAAGTGTTTTCCTCTTCACGTGTGTTTGTGTGTTTCAGCTGAAGTATAAAGCTGACGTGAAGGAAAACTCCAGTAATCTGTACTCGCTCATGCCCGAGACGCTGGACACGCAGTACGCCAAACACGCCGCGGAGTTACAGAGTGACGTACGACACACACGCGTGTGAACTCACTGAGACTCGTCAGAGCAACAATATATCAGTCACTCTCTCCCTGATCACCATAGCAACCCCTTAACAACACCATAGCAACCACTCTGAAACACAACTCTAGAAACACCCTAGAGACCATCCAGAACACCACTCCTTAACAACACCATAGCAACCACTTACCTAGCCCTAGCAACCATCCCGAACACCCTAGCAACCATCTCCGAGCTCAGATCGTCAGGATTGTGAATCATGTTGACCTCAGGTGAAGTATAAGGAGGCCAGTAAGCAGCAGATGAGCAGATCTCTGTACCATCAGCTCCCAGAGACTCCAGAGACTCAACACGCTCGAGACGCCGCTCACATCCAGAGTGAGGTAACGCTGCACACGCTCGCGTCACGCCTCCTCACACGCGTCTGACCGCAGCGCCTGACCTTCATCTGATCATCTGCACTCAGGTGGCCTATAAAGGCATCAGGAAGGGCGATTTCTCGGGTTCCTCCTTCACTGCGGTTCCAGACTCGGCAGAGATGAAGTTCATTCAGCAGATCTCGCACGTGCTCAGTGAGGTGTGACTCATTTCATTCATGATGCTGATGTGACGTGCGTCACGCGTGACTCCATCTCCATGTGTGTTTCAGAAAGAGTACCGTGAGAAGGGCCAGAGGAGCCTCTCGTCCAGCGTTTACTCTCAGCTGCCCGACACTCCAGAGACACAGTTCATCAAATCAGTGTCTGACCTGCAGAGCGAGGTGAGCGAACATGTACTATTAGAGTCAGTTATTTTACAATAAAAGCAATCAAAATATAAAATCATAGACTAAAGCAATAAGCCCCGTGAAGCTGTGGTTTACAGTGAATTTATAACAGCGTTGTTAGGTACGACGTGAAGCAGAGTTATAATATATACCCCTTAACTGTTATAAATTCACTGTAAACCACGGCTTCACTGGGCTTATTGCTTTTATAAAACGGTTATTCCATATACGTAGTACGGTTTCACAGAATAAAACAGAGCAAATAAAGTGTAATGATATTAATAAAAACAGTGTTCTTCCACCAAACAATGTAGCTCCTCAGAAACAGTTGTGGTTGCAACAAAGTGGTTGCCGAGCAACAGACAAACGTAAACAAAGGTGTATGTTACTTTGTAGAGTCATTTACAACAGCTTCGAACGTGGCTCAGCCAATCAGAATCAAGGATTGGAACTATCCGTCTTTTAAAAGTAAACTTAAAAACTAAAAAAGCAATCAAAATAAAACACTTAGTAAAAAAGACTAAATATTTTATTAGTTTAGTTGCATTTCATGTGCGCATTAATCGACATCAGAGAACCGTGAACATGAGATTGTGTTGTTAAATTACTGAATTAATAACCTAAAATCCCAGGGAGACTACAAGTAAATATTTGAGCTCAGAGGGATTCGGCTGATGAAAAACATTTGTGAATCTCTGACTGAAACACCTGCGTTTTCTTATTATGAGACCAAACATTGGTCAGGGTCGCCAGTTCATCTGGGAGTTTCTCGTGAGACTCTTCAGAGCGTTCCTGATCAAGCGTGTTGTGTTTCAGTGTTTGATGTGTCTCTCATCAGCGAATGAGCTGCGGTGTGTCTGTGTGTTTCATTCAGGTGAAATATAAGGCGTCTGGGAAGCAGCGGGTGAGCGACTCGCTGTACGCCACACTGCCAGAGACGCTGGACACGCAACACGCTAAACACGCCACCGACATCATCAGTGAGGTACAGCGGCCTCGTGTTCAAACACTGTGTGATTTCTGCACGTTACAAACTCACAGTCTCACAGCAGAAGAGCTCGAGGTCGTCATGTTTTATATGTTCAGGTGAAGTACAGAGAGGACGGAAGACTGAGTTTGTCCAGTCCATTATTCACTCGACTGCCAGAGACGCTGCAGACGCAGACGGCCAGAGAGATCGCAGACGCACAGAGCGACGTGAGCACATCTTCACTATATAGGGCACTAGATGTGAGCCGTGGGTTCTGTTTGTGCTGTTTTTACTCCTTAAAACTGATGTGTGTCGTCAGCTGATCGCAGTACAGACAGCAGTGACGGCTGATGTTCATCAGTGTTTTACAGAATATGAATCAGGCTCAGAGATTAACGAGGGCTTAGAGAAAAAATGCAACTGAAATTAATTTTTAAAAAGCCCCCAAATTCAAGATAATGGATGCAAAAAATTTCCCTCTATGATTTTTTGTTTTATATTTATATCATATCACGTAGTTAAGCAACTTCACACGAGTAAGAGTGCTGCTTTCCCTGAAGTCTGTTTTTGCTCTATTTCACAAATGAAAACCATTCCAAACAAACCCAGCAGAACTGTCATGTGTGTGCGAGTAAAACAGCTGTTTGATTTCTGAATGAATCTGGATGATCTCATGTGACTGGTAACAGCCTATAGCGTCTAATTGAATGTATTGATTAAATGTAATAATTTGACGTTGAAGATGATGTATACTTTTTGCAGCGTTGGTCAGTTGCCCTTATAAGTGTAAAACTGCCCCTGAAAATCAATTTAAGGTGACAAATATGGCCTTTAATGGAGCGTTTGACTGAATCAGTTCTCATTTACATCCGGCTCATGTTTAAATACTGATTATTGTGTGCTCCTGCTGCTGTTCTCAGGTCAGATATAAGCAGAAGAATGATCAGGTCAGTCTGTATTCACTCCTGCCGCAGACCGCAGACACAGAGTTCGCCAAACACATGAGCGACGTCCAGAGTGAGGTAACACGCGTGTACTGCACTGATGCCACACTATTACTGATATTACTAAAGTACACTTTAGAGTCTATATAAGTTCAGTCTGTTTCTTTGGGTGTAAAGCAGCTTCTGTTTTCAGCTTCAGTACAAGCAGGAGGGTAAGAAGGAAGCGGAGAGCAATCTGTACAGCCTGATGCCGCAGACGCTCCAGACCGAACACGCTAAAGACGCCTACGAGCAGCAGAGTCACGTATGTGTGTCGCATCACGGACAGACACACTTTGTGAATGACAGGAGCTCAGCATGTGTGATGAGGAAGCGTGTGTATTTACACATGACTGTGTATGTAGGTTAAATATAAAGAGAAGAACAAAACAGATGCATCTCTTTACGCCTGTCTGCCCGAGACTCAGAACACGGAACACGCCAAACGCGCCGGAGAGCTGTGCAGTGAGGTATGTACGGCACTGACAGCAGATTCACACGCACTCATGAGCATCACACTGACCGCAGGTGTGTTTCCCTCAGCTGAAGTATAAAGAGGCCGTGAAGAAGTATCTGTCCTCACCGCTGTACTCGCAGATGAGCGACACCGCAGAGATCCAGCGGCTCCGAGATCTCACCGCACTGCAGAGTCAGGTAACGCACATGAACACACCTGAACACACCTGAACACACATGAACACACCTGATCATACCTGAACACACATGAACACACCTGATCATACCTGAACACACATGAACACACCTGATCATACCTGAACACACATGAACACACCTGATCATACCTGAACACACATGAACACACCTGATCATACCTGAACACACATGAACACACCTGATCATACCTGAACACACATGAACACACCTGATCATACCTGAACACACATGAACACACCTGATCATACCTGAACACACATGAACACACCTGATCATACCTGAACACACATGAACACACCTGATCATACCTGAACACACATGAACACACCTGATCATACCTGAACACACATGAACACACCTGATCATACCTGAACACACATGAACACACCTGATCATACCTGAACACACATGAACACACCTGATCATACCTGAACACACATGAACACACCTGATCATACCTGAACACACATGAACACACCTGATCATACCTGAACACACATGAACACACCTGATCATACCTGAACACACATGAACACACCTGATCATACCTGAACACACATGAACACACCTGATCATACCTGAACACACATGAACACACCTGATCATACCTGAACACACATGAACACACCTGATCATACCTGAACACACATGAACACACCTGATCATACCTGAACACACATGAACACACCTGATCATACCTGAACACACATGAACACACCTGATCATACCTGAACACACATGAACACACCTGATCATACCTGAACACACATGAACACACCTGATCATACCTGAACACACATGAACACACCTGATCATACCTGAACACACATGAACACACCTGATCATACCTGAACACACATGAACACACCTGATCATACCTGAACACACATGAACACACCTGATCATACCTGAACACACATGAACACACCTGATCATACCTGAACACACATGAACACACCTGATCATACCTGAACACACATGAACACACCTGATCATACCTGAACACACATGAACACACCTGATCATACCTGAACACACATGAACACACCTGATCATACCTGAACACACATGAACACACCTGATCATACCTGAACACACATGAACACACCTGATCATACCTGAACACACATGAACACACCTGATCATACCTGAACACACATGAACACACCTGATCATACCTGAACACACATGAACACACCTGATCATACCTGAACACACATGAACACACCTGATCATACCTGAACACACATGAACACACCTGATCATACCTGAACACACATGAACACACCTGATCATACCTGAACACACATGAACACACCTGATCATACCTGAACACACATGAACACACCTGATCATACCTGAACACACATGAACACACCTGATCATACCTGAACACACATGAACACACCTGATCATACCTGAACACACATGAACACACCTGATCATACCTGAACACACATGAACACACCTGATCATACCTGAACACACATGAACACACCTGATCATACCTGAACACACATGAACACACCTGATCATACCTGAACACACATGAACACACCTGATCATACCTGAACACACATGAACACACCTGATCATACCTGAACACACATGAACACACCTGATCATACCTGAACACACATGAACACACCTGATCATACCTGAACACACATGAACACACCTGATCATACCTGAACACACATGAACACACCTGATCATACCTGAACACACATGAACACACCTGATCATACCTGAACACACATGAACACACCTGATCATACCTGAACACACATGAACACACCTGATCATACCTGAACACACATGAACACACCTGATCATACCTGAACACACATGAACACACCTGATCATACCTGAACACACATGAACACACCTGATCATACCTGAACACACATGAACACACCTGATCATACCTGAACACACATGAACACACCTGATCATACCTGAACACACATGAACACACCTGATCATACCTGAACACACATGAACACACCTGATCATACCTGAACACACATGAACACACCTGATCATACCTGAACACACATGAACACACCTGATCATACCTGAACACACATGAACACACCTGATCATACCTGAACACACATGAACACACCTGATCATACCTGAACACACATGAACACACCTGATCATACCTGAACACACATGAACACACCTGATCATACCTGAACACACATGAACACACCTGATCATACCTGAACACACATGAACACACCTGATCATACCTGAACACACATGAACACACCTGATCATACCTGAACACACATGAACACACCTGATCATACCTGAACACACATGAACACACCTGATCATACCTGAACACACATGAACACACCTGATCATACCTGAACACACATGAACACACCTGATCATACCTGAACACACATGAACACACCTGATCATACCTGAACACACATGAACACACCTGATCATACCTGAACACACATGAACACACCTGATCATACCTGAACACACATGAACACACCTGATCATACCTGAACACACATGAACACACCTGATCATACCTGAACACACATGAACACACCTGATCATACCTGAACACACATGAACACACCTGATCATACCTGAACACACATGAACACAAATGAACACACATGAACACAAATGAACACACATGAACATACCTGAACACACATGAACACAAATGAACATGAGGAGATTGAAATGCTCCAAACATATAATGCAGTGATTGAGAGCTGAAGAAATAAAGGCTCCTCAGAAGATGTGAGATGTTCTGGAGGCTTGTGAAGATCATTCCTCCGCTGAGGAACAGTGAAAGTAAAGCTTCTGGAAACAAACGCTCCTCAAAAGATCCTGAGGATCAGATTTGAGACTCTAAAACATGATTGATGGAGAATCAAGTAAAGCTGAGCTGCTTCAGTCCAGTAAGTGTTCATCTGGAAATATTACTAGTTATAATATTAATAGTAATAGTAAATATTACGTTTACTTGATAAAAATCAGTACAGATTTGACAGAAAAACACACGAGAAGCTCGAGCTGAAGCTGGACGTTTGTACAGTTACACTAAAAGAGCTTTTACTGGATAAAAAACTCTAAACTCTCAATCAGACGACAGAAGACATGAGGAGATTGAGTGAGACATGATTAACAGCAAAGTTTTGATTATTGCATCAAATATGATACAATAATGATATCTTTATAGGGTTAAAACAAGAATAAATATCTGCCAATAAGATGCTGGTCAGTGTTGATTAGTATGGTGACTCATGAACGTGTGCTGATGTGTTTCAGGTTCAGTACAAGACTGAAGGACAGAAGCTCATGAGCTCCAGTGTTTATTCTCAGATGGCAGAGACTCCAGAGATGCAGTTCATGAAGACAGTGACTGAACTCCAGAGCGACGTGAGGATGAACACGCCACACACACACGTGTGCTGATAGTGACGTCACATACAATCTGATCTGATGTGTGTGTGTGTGTGTGTGTGTGTGTGTGTGCTCAGGTGAAGTATAAGGAGGCCAGTAAGCAGCAGATGAGCAGATCTCTGTACCATCAGCTCTCAGAGACTCCTGAGACTCAACACGCTCGAGACGCCGCTCACATCCAGAGTGAGGTAACTGCTTCTTCATCATCATCATCATCAGTTTAACTATGCGTCTGATCAGTAAAGCATCAGCACACTCTCCTCAACAGCACACATGATGTGAGGAATCATTCATGTCACTCAGTGCTGCAGCTGTGATCAGCATGGGCTGTAGTACTAGTGATGGTTGAGTTAGTGAACTGTCTGTCTGTGGTTTCAGGTGAAGTATAAAGAGAAGGTGAACTCCTCGTCTCTTTACTCGCGTCTGCCAGAGACGCCAGAGACTCGACTGGCCAGAGAGCTGACAGATGTCTGCAGCAAGGTACGGCTCACACAGCATCTGAAGGATTAACATGGTTCCTGTGGTCACGTGAGCGGTCAGTTAGCGGTGTGTGTGGGTCAGTGGGTTATCAAGAGGTTATTTTAACTCTGCAGGTCAGATATAAAGAGGAGGGGAAGAGAGACGTGTCGTCCTGTCTGTACTCACATCTGCCCGAGACGCCGGAGACGCAGTTCGCCAAACAGCAGAGTGAACTCCAGAGCCAGGTAAACGTCACTGCGTTCACTGATTAGTAGTCGTTAATCGTGTTCATTTGCTCATTTCCAGTCGTTTTTGTCAGGTGTGATTCTGAGCTAGAGCTGCACGTTATTGCACTTTTTTTTTCTGCTCTGTATATTGTGATATGAAAAAATACAGTTTGACCAGAAGACTTGAAAAGCTCAAGCTGCCCGAGACGCTGCACACACAGTTCGTGAAGGAGCTGACGCCGCTCATCAGTGAGGTGATCATCCGTCCACATTCATCCAGACACATCTGAAAACGCTCTCCGTCCAAACCCGTGTTTTCAGGCGTTGCTCGTCCACACACTGAAACATCTGCAGACTCTTAAATCGCCTCACTGTGCTCTCATAAATCCACACAGAAGCTCACTGAGAGAACAGACAAAACAGAGTATCCCACCACACGCTGGTGTCCAGATTCTGTGTTGGGTATAAAACACAATCGGACAGCAATTACAAGCACATTTTCTGTCATCTTTGTGGAGATGTCAAGAATATTTTGTACATTCTTCATATTACAACACTTTGAAAGTGGATAGTAGGCATAACGACATTTTGTTTGTTTCAGGTTAAGTTGATTGCATGACTGCATTATATGACTAAACATGCGTCAATGTTTTAAAATTAACCCCATTTTCACAGTTAAAACATGAACACGGCATTTTAAAATGTATTCACTTGGGAGAGCGTCATCAAAACTGTTTTCACTGGACAAAAACACAGAAAAATACTGTTGTGTCAGTAGCTTTATTCTGTGGGCTGCGTCTCAAACGCTGCTGTATCTCTGAGCTGATAAGTGTGGCTATAGTTAGCCGCTCGTCCCAGAGCTCCACTCGTGACTCACCGTTCGCTCGGACGATCTGTGCTTTAGTGCAGAGAACAATATTCAACACAAACACATGATGATATTTGATCATCCCGAAATTATTCATCAGTCACATTTATTTCTACAGCGCTTTTTACAATACAGATCGTCAAAGCAGCTTCACAGTAATAAACAGGAAGATAAGTGTTAATGTTGTAAAATTCATCAGTTATGAGCAGCTCTATGAGCAGCAGTTCTAGTTCTCATCTGATAGTGTCAGTGTGGTTAAATCAGTCACATATTGATGTTTCAGAGCAAATATAGAGAGTCTGGTAAGAAGGAGAGCAGCACGTCTCTGTATCACACGCTCCCAGAAACCAAAGACACGCAACACGCCAGAGACGCCACACAGATCCAGAGCGAGGTGCGTCCCAGCGTCTGCATGTGCTTCAGATTCAGAGCGGATTCAGTCACTCAGCGTCTGTTTCTCCTCCACAGGTCAGATATAAAGAAGGGAAGAGACTGCAGTCGTGCAGTGTTTACTCTCAGCTGCCGCAGACGCCGCAGACTCAGCTCGCTGCCAGAGTCTCGGAGCTGCAGAGCGATGTAACGACACACACGATCACTCAATCATCATGATCAGTACAGTCAGTCTCAGTAAACGCATGCGGAAATCTGTTTTCCAGAATAAATACAGAGAGGACGGCAGGAGGAGCGTCTCCAGCTGCCTGTATTCTCAGCTGCCCGAGACTCCAGAGACACAGTTTGTCCGAACAGTGACCGAACTGCAGAGCGACGTGAGCAAACGACTCACATGAATCAAAACACTCTCACACACACACACTCACTCACACACTCACTCACTCACTCACCCACTCACAGTTAATGACTGACTCAAGGTCACTTTTAACCCTGTGTTCATGTTTCTAAACATGTCAAACAGATCATGTAAACCTAAAGACACTGTATGTCATTTTGATTCATTTGAGTCTTATGTATTTCATTTAATTAAAATGATTCACAGCCCTTAGAGAGGCCATTCACATGCTCGTAGAGTGCATTATGAGAACATTAACCCATCAGATGTGGAGTGAAACCAGAGTACCCATGAGTGACTGTGTGTTTGTGTGCTTTCAGAGTAAATATAAAGAGGCAGGAAGGAAGCAGGCGTCAGGCGCTCTGTATTCACTGCTGCCGGAGACTCTGGAGACTCAACACGCCAAAGACGCCACGGACCTCCTGAGTCAGGTGGAAGAACCGCTGTTATATGAGCCACGGGACACGTGTGTCAGGATAAACACACATGGAAATTAACATTTGCTTTGATTTCAGACGAAATACAAGGAGGAGGCGAAGAAAGAGGCTTCTGCCAGTCTGTACGCTCTTCTGCCAGAGACGACTGAGACTCAGCACGCCAAAAACATCTCTGAACTCCTGAGCGAGGTGTGTGTTTGTGTGTCACATCCCATCCACTCATGTTTTGACCAAATCATTTCAAATTCTGAGTGAAACCTTTAATTTTCTGACTGAGCAAATAATTTCAAATCTTGAGTCAGTGAATCATTTCACATTCTGACTCACTAAATCGTTTCATATATTTTTCCAGTAAATTGTTTCATATCTTCACTCAGTGAATCGTTTCATATGTTGACTCTGATTGTTTCCTCTCAGAATAAGTACAAGCGGAGCGGTATTCAGGAGAACAGCAGCAGTATTTACTCTCAGATGCCGCAAACACAGGAAACACAGTTTGCCAAACAGATGGCGGAGCTTCAGAGTGATGTACGTGTGTGTGTGTGACTCTGTGTGTTTGTGATTGATGTGTGTGCATAGGCGCGGGAAGTGGGGGTGCTGAGGGTGCTGCAGCACCCCCTGTTTTTTTCTGTGGGCAACTGTTTAACTGTTGGGAATAAAAAAAAAAAAAATCTTGTTGGCAGAGGCTATTTACACTGATTCCACCTACCAACGTGTGATTGGACTAGTCAACATTACAAAAGACGGTCATCAATCATCAGATTCAGTGTCGTAGATGATAAAGCGTGTGTCATAGCCTACTACTTTTGACACGATTGACCCGGGTTCGAATCTGCCTTTTGGTGAACTTTTTTTCTCCCTTTTCAAATTTCAAATCACATCAGAAAAGCATTTATTTTTAATGAAAATGAAGGAAATAATCAAAAAGTCAGGTAGGGTTAGGGTAGGTGTAGGGAGGGCTTTTGTCCCAATAAGGTGGCATCCATTCAATAATTTGAATTATAATTAAAATTTACACTCAATAAGTTATTATTGCATACTGTTTTATAATGTATTACAATGCTGAGGTGCAGATAATTGCCACTATTTGCAATAAGTAATTAGCAGGATATCCTGCTATTTTAACATAGTATAAATAGAATCTATAGCTATTTGCACTTAATGTAAATAGCATACATCACTAAAAAATACTGCTATTTTCACTAAGTGTAAATAGCCCCCCGCGCGTACAGCACCCCCAACCTAAAACATGTTCCCACACCCCTGTGTGTGTGTGTGTGTGTGTGTGACTCTGTCTCTGTGTGTGTGTGTGTGTATGTGTGTGTGTGACTCTGTCTCTGTGTGTGTGTGTGTGTGTGTGTGTGTGTGTGTGTGTGTGACTCTGTCTCTGTCTCTGTGTGTGTGTGTGTGTATGTGTGTGTGTGACTCTGTCTCTGTGTGTGTGTGTGTGTGTGTATGTGACTCTATCTGTGTGTGTGTGTGATGTTGATGGTGTGATGTTCGTGTGTGTTGTAGAATCAGTACCGGAGAGAGACGCAGGAGGATCTGTCTCACTGTCTGTACTCTCAGCTGCCCGAGACGCTGCACACACAGTTCGTGAAGGAGCTGACGCCGCTCATCAGTGAGGTGATCATCAGGGATTCTCATATTCTTCTGCTTCGGGCTTGCAAAAACTATGAAGATAACTGTAATTAAACTATATTTTATTAAAAAGTGATAGTTATAGTTATCATTCTTGGTGTGAACGGGCTTTTAAAGCCTCACGTTAGAGTTGAACAGTGACCTAGTGCTGTCCAAAGGTGTTTTAATGAGCCACTTGAATATTAATGATATGTAAATGATGTGTGAATGTAGAATAAATATAAGGAGGATGGAAAGAAGGAGCTGCAGAAGTGCCTGTATGTCCATCTGCCCGAAACCAGTGAAACACAACACGCCCGAGAGCTGACACAACTCTACAGTCAGGTACACTTACACACACACACACACTCACACACACACGCTCACACACAACACACACACACACACACTCATAGTGTTTGATAGTGTTTCAATCAGTACTCTGAATCAGTTCTGTGAATCAGTGCTGTGCTGACGCTGCTGTTTTCTGTTCTGTGCAGAAGAGCTATAGAGACTCTCTGGACGCTCAGGTGTGTCTGTACGCTCAGATGCCACAGACCATTGAGACGGTGTTCGCTAAAGAAGTGTCCAAACAGCAGAGTGACGTGAGTGAGATCATGTGATGTGTTATTCATGAGTGTTGATCATCCGTCAGTATGTGTGATCGTGGGATCATAAACAATGGCCTCGTCATTGAGTGTGTGTGTGTGTGTGTGTGTGTATGAGTGAGTGAGTGTATGTGTGTGTATGAGTGTGAGTGTATATGAGTGTGTGTGTGTGTGTGT